GAACCCACTTCCACAAAACAAGCACACAAGTAAGAGCTCCTCAGTTCTCCCACATTCTTTCTATTTGTACTTTAATATAAATGATAGCTCTTCAAAATGCTAAAATTATACTCAGGGACAGAAAAGGGTATGATAGAGTCCAAAATTGTAGGTGTTCTATGAAGAGTTCATAAACTGAAAAGCTGAACAATGGAATCTATGCAATGGGCTGAAATAAGGTAGTCTCATTTAAGAGCTTTTCGTGTTTTCAGTAACACTTTCAAATCGGAAATCTGCTTTCTATCTTTTACAAACCACACAGGACAATGCAACATAAACATATGCTTTGTCTTATTTTTTGGAGAGGTTTTTACTATGTAACTCAGGCTAATCTTGAACTTAGGCCTCCTGCTTCAGCCTCCCATGATTCCAGGGATGCACCACCACACCCAGCTCCATAAACTTTTTTTTTAGTTAAAAGTATCCAAACAATATTTCACAAACTTATTGAGAAATGTTCCAAAAGCATTAATTCTTGAAAATTCACTAAACTATATAAGTACCAAAGCAGATTCTGAGTTCTGGATTTCTACTATATGATGGCCTTAGAAATGAATTCTAAATCTTATTAAAATTATAAAAAATATTCCCCTGAATAATTTATACATGAGCATAAAATTAAGTTTAAAACATCAGAGGCATGGTTTACGGTAGTTTGTCATTTAGGGACTAAGCCTTTCCTCTCTAGCATTCTAAGGCCTATTTTATACATGTATAGTTTTCATTCTGAATATGATTTCCAGAAAATATCTACACTTTTTCAATTGTTATTCATTTATAATGGAACATTTGAATGAATAAAATCATACTGAAGGAATCTGCAAATTTACAAATTGGATCTTTCCCTCTGCTATCAGACTGCTCTAAACACTGGAAGAATAGGTACATATACTTATTGTTTGGTTTTACCTGAAAAAATGTAATTAAAATAACCCAAATCAAGGATATAGCATGTAGGTCAGACATGTTTACTCTCTGAACCTGATATGAACTTTGAGACATTTTTCTCCATCCAATAATCCAACTGCAGCTAAATGTCAACATCCCTTGGACTCAGGGTCATATCCTGGGAGAACCCCACCTTCTATTCTCTGGCTCCACTCCTTACAACAGCCACAAGGAAAAGCAGCCAAGATCTAAGTTTTATTCATAAGCCCACATTACTTAGCTCAGAGACATCTATATTAGGTAGAATTTATTTCCTCTCTTATAATAAAGACCAGCCAAAAACCAAGGAAAATACCCTGGCTGTGTAGCCAGTATAAAACTATACTGAGTTGCTCCTGAAAACACTTCCCCACCCAATTCCTGTGATAAGCTTCACCAAGAAGTGTGAGGTGTACCTTTAGTTTCAAAGTTCAAAAGCCAGTTCCTTTTATAGGCAAGCACATACCCACAGTGCTGGGCAGGGCAGTCTTTGTAGCTAATGACAGAAGAAAGTAAATAGGGTAGACTTCTCCAAGAGGAAGGTCATCTCTGCTTCCTACTGTTTTATTCCCATGCACAGGTCCTTGAACTCTACAATAGTCATAGTTAGTCTGCTGAACTAGAGCCTTTGCCTTCTTCCTCTTTCCTCTGATTCTTAAAAGTAGTTTAAGTTCTTCCGGGTCCTTCTTTGAAAGTTACTTAATACTTAAAAAGTGTAGACCTAAGCTGGGTACCAGTAACTCACACCTGTAATCCTAGCTACGTGGGAAGCTGAAAATGGCCAGCCCAGGCAGAAAAGTTCACAAGATTCCTTCTCAACCCACCGCTGGGCATAGTAGCATACCTGTCACCCTAAGCTACCTGGGAGGCTGAGAGAGAACAGGAAGATCATGGTTCCAGCTCACATTGGGCACAAAACTCCACAAGACCCTCTCTCATCGGAGGGAAGTTGGACTTAATGGAACACACCTATGATCCCAGCAGCTAGAGGTAGCCTTAAGTATGCACATGGCAGTGCAGACATCCCCAGGATAGGAAGTGAGACCCTATCTCAGCAATAGCCAGTGAAAAACAATGCTGGAGATATAGTTCAGCCAGAGAGCACCAGCCTAACAAGCACAAAGTCCTGCAAACCCCAATTCTGCACGAGGGGCATCAGGAGGGGTGAGGCACTGATTTGAAGCATGGCAATAAAATTCAGTGTAATAATGGGTTCATATCTTTATTGGAAAAAGTAAGATAAAGACATTTCCCGATACAGTCAGTCCTCTATATCTGTGAGTCTAGGATCCATAGAATCTAATATTTGCAGATCAGAAATATTGGGAAATAAAGGTGATTTCATACTGAACATGAACACTTGTTTTTTCCTTGTTGTTATTCCTTAAGCATTATGGTATGGTACCCATTTACATAGTGTATATGTGGCATAAGATATTGTAGGTCATCCAGAGGTGATTTCAACTATAGAGAAGGCTGTATAAGTTTCTATGACCATACTACACCACTTCATTCAGGAAACTTGAGCATCTGCTGAATTTGATATCAAAATATGTAGAGGGTCCTGGAACCAATTTTCAATGAATACAGAGGGCTGACTGTACTGTCACGTTAATGTACCATTCAAATTGAGAGAATGGGAACGTCATATTTTTTAAACAGATAAAATAGTAAAAGCAGAGGTCTCATTAAAGAAAAAAAAGAATACTGCATATAAGGAACAGAAAAAGCTATATAGTTGACACGACATGCATTTCCTTGAAGAGCTCACATAACAAACATCAGTCTGATGTTTCCTTTAAGAAGAGTGCTGTAACAACAGTAAGAAAATGAAGTAGCTGTGCGTTGTAAGTTGGTAACTGTGAATCTTACAGAAAATATTAGCAGTAGTGATAAATGGGAAAATGGAAAAACACATGTCATCAAAAGGCTCTGAGAATTTCCTCTCTTTGCCTTGCCCATCTGGAGAGCTCCCATTCATTCTGCAAGGTTTAGCCCACAGGCTGGAAGCCACTGCTGATATTGCCAGTGTCTCCTGTGCTCCACAACACCGCAATCCTGGCTTCATTATCACAATTCCTGCTGTTTAGGGGCCATTTGTACTTCGACTACCTCCACTCCTTCTACAAGGCTGTAAAGATTATAACTTGCTCCACTTTGTAATCTTGGTGTCTGGTACAAGGAACAGACACGCATTTAATTAAACTCTGCTAAGATGCTGTCGATCAGGTATCTGTTCTGTGTATATTTTTAAGAATATATAAACACCAGTAAGACACTTCTACAAAGGTGAAGTGGATCTCCTTCTGTGAAGTAGGGAGAGGCTGGATATTGTAGATAGCATACGCGATGGCTGATGGTGGAAGGAGACAGACAGGCAGGAACGCCAGGACCTAATGAACCTCAGGATATACTGAGCTGTGTTCTCCAAGTTTTCTTTATCCATCTTAGAGCTGAAAAAGGCGGAACCTAGAAACACAAACAAGTACAGGAAAACAACAAAAATCAAGAGAGGCCTGCTCTCTCTTCACCCAAAGGACAAAAAAAAGGAGATACACAAAACAGAAACAATTTTGTGTCAATGAACTGCCAAGAAAAGAACTGTGTCCTCTAGCACACCAACATCGCGGTGACATCCTAGACTTCCACCCTTGCCTGAAAGAGCTGCCAAGATTCCCAGGCAGGGTAGTACAAGAAAGGCTGATGAAGGAACTGGGAATTTCATAAATCCTTCCAGTCATCCCAGTTCCACACATCCGGGAGACCACAGGAAGCAGAAAAGAAGGCATTAGTAGAAAACCAGTAGGAGCAGAATCCCCACCCTACTCACCTCCCCTAACCCTCAGTGCCCAACTGTGGACCTGAACTCCTAGCCACACCTAGGGAGGAAATTTTCTTTCTAGGATGTTGTCAGGGAAAATGAACTAAAGTGGAAAAGTTTAAATAAAATCCATAGTCTTATAACACAATCACTAAACTGCCCAGACTTCAGTGAAAAAATACTCATCAGGAAAAACCTTTTAAATGTTTAAAAGGACACAGTCAATAGATACAAACATTGCATGACACAGATATTGGAATCATCTGATAAGGATTTTACAGCAGCTGTCATAAAAATGCTTCAATAAGCAATTACAAACATATTTGAAACAAATATTAAAGATTTAGCAAAGAGAAAATATTTCTGAACAAATGTAAGATATAAAGAAAAAACAAAAGGAAGCTTTTAAGACAAAAAAAAACATATAATTAGTGAGATATAAAAATCTACTCATGGGCTCAAGAGCAGACAGAGGGCAAACTCAGTGACAATTGAAATCACTGAACCTGTACAGACACAAACACACACACAAACACATACACAGCCTTTATAAACTGTGGAACTAAAAAAGAAAAATCAATGAAACTTTCTAAGTTATTAAATAAGTTTCAGGTGCAAATTACATTATCTAATCTTCTTTGTGGCCCCTAAGTAGTTGAAGAATGCTTATTATAAAAAAGACATATAAAAATCTTTGATAAACTAATAAACTAAAATACCTAAATGATACTCAGAGGGCCTGAAAGTTAGGGTAGCCTTCAAGATTTACAGGTTGAAAGATTATAGTCGTTGCAGTGGGAACTGAAATTGTACGACTGATCACCTGCATAAAGGAAAATGTTCAGTGATTGGTGACCCATTCTCCTCCCATCAATGGAATTCCAAAAGGAGCCCCTGGGCAGAAAACAGCTCTGCTGCTTGTGGGGTAATTCTTCTATGCAGAGGAAAGCATTCCTATCATCCATGGATGCAAAATAGCACCTTGCCTGTGCTGCCAAACTCTCTGCCATTTTACCCAGATAGGACCCAATTTTAACAGTCTAAAAGAACCACATTTAGAGCTATTGTCAACCTCTGCTACTTAGCCATGAACATGATAGGAATTTTGGATCAAATTGTATAACAGAAAGATGTGACTCGACTCATAGATTACCTATAACATTTAACTTGTCAGAACCAGGCTGAGGATATCCAATCTCAATTCAAAGAAAAAAATAAGATGAATGATTTGGCTTTTGAACGAGTACACAGAAAAGGTATAAATACAATTTGAGAACTATTTTGCCTACCGTAAATTTTTTTTGATTAAAATGAAATATAAAAGACACTCCAAATGAAAAGGAATCTAGAAACACCTTTAAGTTCTTGTAGAGATAGTAATGTCACATGGACTCTTCCAGTTCCATTAATGCTATAAAGGCTACTAACAATCACATGATTCTAAATCCAGTCTTCAGACAATGGCTGCATCTACTTCTCCCTTATGAAAGAAGAAGAGCACCTTCGGGGATGATCTGCTTTTACTCCTGGCACTGGCACCATGCACAGGATTCTTCCACATGAAATCTGTGTGAGACACGATAGGAACACTCTTCTGTGGTTACGTGGAGTCCACAAGTTTCCCTGAGATGTCTGTATCACAGAGGTTCTCAGTTTTAACTCTGCTCGACAGTTTTGAAGCATTGCAATTGTGTGGCTGGCAGAGGGCTGTATAAAATATCAGGTTCTCACAAAAGATTTAGGGTACAGTTTTAGGAAGTATTAGAAAAAAAAGTTAGTCTTCTTGGTTAAAGGTTGGCAAGAATGTTTTTAATTTCAAAAGGTCTGAAACTGGCTCTTTTCTTTCTTGATAGAAGCTGAGTCCAGTGATATGTTCCACATCTGAGATCCGTGCTCTGTGTAACATGAACAAGTCTTCAATCCATGAAGAGTCATGCTTCCCAGACTAGGAAGATGGAAGAGGAAGAAGAAAAGTTACCAAGCATCCTTACTTCCCAATAACCTTGCTATCTCCCCAGCTTCATCAACTATGACATTTTTGTTCTGAAATGGCAGGTATCACGAGATCTTTTAGGCATAATCACCAGTTGAGTACTTAATCCTCTTATATACCCATGAATATTGCACTATTAATGTTTGATCAGTTAATTGTATCAATTGGTATGGGGTTTAAAAAACAATGGAAAACGGAAACATCATGGTAGAGTAGAAAGAATACAGGTATTATTGTGAAGAAACCTAGGTTCAAGTTCTGGTTTCCTGACCATTCTATCAGGTCAGTGAAACTGAAGTACTTAACATCTCAATCTTGATTTCCTCACCAGTATCAATCTCCTAGGGTGGTTTTTGATATGTACAACACCAACGTGTGTTCTTACGCAAATGCAGCTAATTGCATGATAAGTGGGACTTAGAGATGGCATACAATGCCATGCAATGATACATGACCAGGAGAGAATGAACAGCAGAAGTTAGAACACATGAAAGCAGAGATAGACACCAATCATGTAATTGAAATGGAAGTCATACAGCCACGCATCAATGTAAAACAGTCACCGCATCAGCTCATGGCCACTGGTTGGTAGGTTGTGACTTTACTTTAAAAGTATTTGTCACAAAGGCCATGTACCCTGATTAAAAGAAAATGATAAATACAGATCCTTCACACACACAAAACAGACCAAACATTAGTTTCATCATTAGCTTTAATGACCACTACCCAATAATCAGCCTCCTCTCTGTCAGTCTTTTCTCTGGCTCTAAAGGGAACATCCTGACCTTATGAGAGTCCTTTGTTACTTTTCCCAGTAGATATCTGTCATGTGTCCCACCAATCACAGGAATAGATTGAAAAAACTGCAAGCCAAGTATTTGTTCCTTCAGTCTAATATCCAATCCATTCTCAGATACCACATCAGAGATGAAATAGCACAAAAAATGTGCATAATAAACCTTAAAATAACTCTTTCTGATTCAGGTCCAATATATAGTAACTTAAAAAGTACAAATCTTTTGTAGAGTCTGATTAAAATTTTTTCACCTATGATAGTGGCGTTGGAATGGTAGACTAAGAAAAGGAACTCAATGCCTAACTCAGGGAACTTACAATTCTGGTGGAGAAGAGGTAAGCATGATCTTTGAGTTATCTAAATGCCTTCTCTTTTTGGAAGAGGACACAGAACTGAGGCATGAAATCTAGAGAAACAGAAGCCATCTTTGACCCATGTGGACAAGAGCTCTAATGCTAAGATTGGTAAAGCCTAGAGAACAATGGTCAGAATTCCTAAAGGTGCTGCTGATCCAAACCACCATCCCAAACCATCTGGTCACTGCTGAACTCCCTGGAGGTGAGGAATCCCTTTCTTGCTTGTTGTCACTGCAATAAGGATTTAGTAATTTGCAGCAGAACACACTGCTGATATACTTCATGGCAAATTCTCTCAAAGAAAAAGATTCAATAGAGAAGAGAAAACTTGATAGGTGTCCAACAGTGGCCTTAGTACTGACCATCTATCAGAGTTAGGTGCCCAATTGGCATCCAAATAGTTAAATTCCAAATAAAATTGTTATTCTGTACTCAATTCTTTTATCATTATTCTTATTATCTTAAAGTAATTTTACAAGGGAGGTATCATTTCTGTACTTTATTCTTGAGAATAAGAATGAAATAGCTTAATGAGCTTTTTGTGTCATGGGAAATGGTCAAGTTATCCTGAAAGTTTATCATAGTAAGATTTAAGGGGGAGGCCTATCATTTCATTTTGATGATAGATCTGTAGGAAAACTATGTTTAGGGATAATGAATGGGTTATCATAGTTCTCAGCTGTGCACACAGAAGAGCATATACTTTGATCTCTGTTATATCCCCACTTCCTAGGACACATGGCAACAAAGCTCTAATATTCGGATGAAGAGCTGGATAAAGGAAGCAATGAATGAGCAAATGTAATACTTTCTCGTTGAGCTCAAATTGGCATCAAGATCCTTTTGACCACAGATCTCGAAGAATTCACCTGGAGAAACTGATGTGAAAGTCAATTTTTTAAAAAACTCAAATCTAGACTTATTTTGTGTATCTACAGTGGTAGAGCAAATGCTTAGTATAACAATGCCTTGGGTTCAATTCTCAGTCCCAAATGTCAGAACAAAATCCAATAAACAAACAACCCTAGCAAGTATGAGATAATTTTTTTCCTTTGGTTCAACCTAATTTAAAAATTAACATATATCTACAAATTGCTAAAATTTAATGAAGTCTTGATGTTCAAAGCTAGAATTAAAATTTCTAAACTTCTGAGCAAATAAGTTATCATACAACAACACGAAGATTTTCACAATCAACTCACTTATGGAATTTTTGAAATGTTGCCTAACAATGTTGCCTAAGAGTAATGCTGACATTTTTGGAATTATAAATACAGTTCTGAGGTCACAGAAAATTTATACTTTAAATAAAACTAGAACTTAGATGAGCCCTATGAAGTGTGATACTGATATGATTTTTAGTGCCTTTAACTGATTGGGGTGGGGGAGATAGTCTAAGATGATAGTCTATCACAAAACTTCAAAGTCCATATAAATAAATAGTTGTATTTTCCCACAAAAACATTTGACGCCAGTATCACACTTGTGTCCGTGTTCTGTATATGCAGTGTGCTAGGAAGACTGACAAAAGCTACTCACAGCACAGCTCTCACTGTTATCGGGTCTGTGAGGCAGGATGAAGGCTAAGGGATCCAGGCTTTCACACTGCAAGGGTGTCTGGGCTGCATCTTTACAGCTGGTGAGCACAATGAAGAAGTGAGTGGGAATCAGAATTTCTTGATTTCGAATGACTCTGCTGACCCTGTAAAAATAAATCAGAATCCACTTTAAAAAAATTAGCAATTATATTTCAAAAAGAAATAACTACCTTCCTTATTAAGAGATAGAACAATCTTCTTTACTAAGCATTTGTGTGAGTGTGTGTGTGTGTGTGTGTGTGTGTGTGAGAGTGTGTGTGTGAAACTAATATACTAAAGAGGAAAACTATTTTTGAGCACTTATACCCAAGATTCAAAATCATTATTGATAGGTATTTCCTACACAATTACAAAAAAAGATAGAGAACAGGAGAGATTTTCTTTTATTTCAGCTCCTTTCTAAAGGAAGCCCCAGGCACAGAGAGCTCAGGTCTGTAATCCTAGCTACTTCAGGTGTTGAGAGCTGAAGATTACAATTCAAAGCCAGCTCTGGCAGACAAATCTGAGATACTCCTATCTCTAATTAACCAGCAAAATGCCAAAAGTGAAGGTATGGCTCAAAGTGATAGAGCAGATAAAGCTAAGCAAATGCGAGGCTCTGAGTTCAAGCCCCAGTACTGGTACCAAAAATAAAAGGTTGCAAATCTCCTACGTTTCTCTGTTTTTAAACAATTTTCTTTCCTATTTCAAATATTATTGGAATTCTTTTCATTGTAGTCTATTATCAAAGATGTCTCAGTTAACTTTTACTCCTCATATTTCTATTCATTTTAAAGCTGTGTTTGTTTAATGTCTTTCTCAATTTAAGATGATAGAGCGATTGCTTTTAAATATGGCCACTCTTTTTTGCATCACCTATGACTAGAGCCAAGAAACCTTGTCCAGGTCCAAGGAACCTTCATGCCTCAAGGTACATAGTAAAGAATTACAACTTTACAGACTGATGTGCTCCCTGATATATGGAGGGAAAAAGTGACCCTCTGCATCAAATTAAGAGAGTTGACGTTTTCTGAGAGAAGCCAGATTGTAGCATAGTTTCGGTCCTGCAGTCTTTTTTTTTTTTTTTGTCAATCTAGGGCTTGAACTCGGGGCCTGGGTGTCCCTGAGATCTTTTTGCTCAATACTTGCACCCTACCAATTTAAGCCACAGCTGTAATTCCGGTTTTAATTGCTAAGAGACTTACAAACTTTCCTGCCCTGGCTGGCTTTGAACGGTGATTTTCAGATCTCAGCCTCCTGAGTAGCTAGGATGACAGGCATGAGCTACCAGTGCTCAGCTCTGAATTGCAGTCTTAATAGCACAATTGCTTCTAAGACTCTGGTAATCATTGTTTTATTATGGATCACCCAGGGCTGAATATGTAACTCAATGATAAAGCACTTGCTCAACATGTCTAAAGCCCTGAGTCTAATACACATCACTGCAAAAGGACCAATCAGTTTGTAAACATTCTCCCCTCTCATCTATAAAACCAGCACCACTGGTGTCCTCACCATGGCTCTTCCAGCCACCTCTAGTGAGAGGCAGCTAAATACTGTGGCCTTAAACTCAGGGCCACTGGACTTGAGGAGCTATCTCTTTATAAACCTTGATTGAGGGCTTGTGTCATACACACATATCATACAGCTCTCATTTGCTGACCTGCAATGTAGTCACTGAGGTAGTCGCTTCACAATCAGCCACAGGGAGCTTAAACTTTGAGGGCAACATTTACATGGAGCTCAAGGATTGCCCAACTGGGACTATGAGCATAGCTCAAGTAGTAGAGTACCAGTTGAGCAAGCAAGCTGAGCAAATGCAAGACCCTGAGCTCAAGCCACAATACCTTCACAACAAAAAAAAGAAAATCAGTAAAATATAAAAATAGAATTGCTTAAGTGAATGGAATGGGGGAGAAATATTATTACTTTCACCAAGACAATAACTTTTATTGAAGACACAACACTGAATAAGACCATCAAAATCAATCAGATGTTAACTAGAGGCTTCCAGCGTAGTCAGAAATGTCCTGGACATTGATGTGAACTGTACTACATAGAGAAGTTTCTGCTGACTCCACTAAATGATCATGTCTTTTGATAGCTATTTTACAGAGTGATGAAATATTTCCTTACTGCTTCAGAGTCTCTGAGGAATCACAGCGTCCATCAAAATCAGAGTCAAATACAGGACCACTGACAACATTGATACCATTCCTGTCATCAGCATACCGCTGCAGCAGGGTGTCATGAAAGTAGCCCCAAATAACTAAGGAGAGAAGATGCACACTGTAGTGTCAAAAGGGTAATATCCCGCAGCTGTGTGAAATCAATTAACAACATGATTCAAAATGAGTACTTGTAAAAATTAGATTAGTCACGTTTGAGTTCAGTCTTACTGTGAGGTCCAAAATCCATTGTTTGGCTTTGGCTTTTGAATGGATTAATGGCTGAATTCAAAATTACTCTGAATTCAGCATCCCTGAATTACATGCATCATATCGTGTTAATGATCATACATCATCACGGAACATTACAGCATCACAAACACAAGATAGGTAAATTATTCAGACTGACCATGAATATGGGAAACTTCCTTGGAAAATATTCACAAGTTACAGAGATGTAAATCAGAGCAAAATATTATATATTCTATATTTTGATATTCTACATATCAGTTGAAGTGTGAATGTATATATTTTCCTACAAGAGGCAAATGCTACAATAACGATGATGCAAAATTTGTTCATTTTTTTAAAAACAAAATAATTTACAAAGAATGTCTAAATAGTGACATAAAGAAGAATACTGAAAGCTGACTGCATCAGCTAGGGAACTTGAAGAAGAAGCCATCAAAAATGTATCAACCAATTGAGTGTTGATAACCATATAAAGCAGAACATGCATTAGAAAAATCACAGACTTCTTTTTATATTCTAGCAATGTTAACGTTAAAAAAATAAAAACCTTTAAGAATGTATTTGGCAGTCATTAATTTAGAACATGAATCTGAACACACTGACATTTACTAAAATTATAAATTAAAGTATCTTACCTTGAAAACTCTGATACATTGGCACTATATTAGTTGTAAGCAAAGCCTCAGAATATATTTCACTTGAATCCTTACTTAATTCTACAAAAGAAAAAAAAAGACAACTTTTCAGTCTTGACAAGTAACATTGGAAAGCATACCGGGGGAAGGGTTTAAAAAGTTAGCTGAGTATCATTTTAACTTAGGAAACTGTCTCAGGTTATAAATGAAGGGGAAAATGTTAGAAAAATAATATATTTAATTGTTTCCCTTTTCATAACAAATCTATCAAAGGAACAAAAACTTTATAAGAAAAGCTCACATGGAACATATTCAGCCTTTACATTTGTTCTATTTCAACTAAAGTACGCTGTGTTTACAATTTTCTTTCTTTAAACAATTTCCTAGTCAAAGGAAAAAAAGTTCTAAAGTTCTGGCTTCAGAACACCACCTACTATTCAGAAAAACACCACAGGAGTCTGTGCTGCACAAGGCTTCTTTGTAGGGACTGGAGGCGTGGACCTGGTCCCCTTGCACGGTCCATGCCAGCTCTGACTGCAGACACCAGACTGCAGGCTGGGGTTATTTGAGTACCTGGAGCCTTGGGATTTTTGCCTTTTAAATCTGATGCTAAAATATCTTCTCATTAACATACAAAAATGCCACTTCAAAAAAATAAAGCACTTTGCTTCAAGAGTACTTTATTTAGAGATTCTGCAACAGCCAGAAAGTAAGCATGCTGAATGGCCCACTTTTATCAAATTCTTTAACAAGTCACCCTTCCATTTAAGCAACGAAGTATGATCTCTTTCTTAAGAACTCCAATGCATCCTTCCACTGTCACTGAGCCTTCTCAGATGGTTTCATAGCAAAGGTGAAGAGATCAGAAAGGTGAAGAGTATTCCACCGACAGTAGAGATCATTTACCACCCCCCCCCCAAATAAAAGGGCTTATAAAAGTCAAGTTTTAAGCATTTTAATGTTTTCTCTAATAATTACATTACTAATGCTCAGTATTACAATAACATGTGATATTCCCTTTTCCATTGCTTGCTTAATTTATTAAGTTATTTATTGGTGCAGGTGGTAGTTATCTATTACAGCTTTATTTATTTATAACTATCACACACATATGCCAGACAAACTCTCCGCCACTGAGCTACACCCACAGGCTTATATGAAAGCTCTATAAACAAGAAAAAAGGCAAAAAGGAAGCAAAAGAAGCAGAGGGAAGGGAAGGTTAGGGAGGCAGGTACTTACGTGGTGGAGCAAGGAAGCCATAACTCACTTTAGCATTATTTTTATAGAAAGAACATTTATGGATGGGACTAAGAGGAATTCGAAGGTCCTGGAAGAGGCAGTTGGAAAAGTTGTCTGTAGAGAAACTGTCCTAAAGAGCAAAAAGACAATAGCTATCAGGCCTTGTATGTAGGAAATTACTTTGTGAATAAAGGTAAACTACATTATATATAATGGGTTTCTCATTAGCTGGGCACAACTTTCACTATTTTTTCCATCACTTTTCTCCTGGGATATTCATCGATTCTTTACAATGTCAAGGACATTGCTTATATCACTTCTGTGCAAGTATCTTCTTCTTGTTACACTGTACTAACTCAGGGCCTGGGCACTGTCCCTAAGCTTCTTTCTTCCTCACGGCTGACACTCTACCTTGTGAGCCATAGAGATCTACTTCTGGCTCTTCTGGTGGTTAATTGTAAAAAGTCCCATGGACAGTCCTGCTTAGGCTGGCTTTGAATTTTAATCCTCATAGCTCAGCCTCTTGAGTACCTAGGATTATAAGTGTGAGCCACCAGTGTCCCAGCATTTTTGATATTTTATCTACCCTGTTTAAGTATTGCATGTAGTAAACACTGGGTTTTAGACAGTGTAGTCTACCTTCCAATTCCAATATAGCCAAAAATCACTGGGAGAAGGAAACACAGCTACTGAAAAGTGATGTAAAACCCTTAGGGATAGTGATGGCTATGCATTCAAGCATTGCCATTACATAAGAAAACTCATAACTGAGACAGAATCAATGACCACCACAGTAAGGTATCACTTAACAAGGAATTCCTAGGCTGAGGTGCCTACAAAGTCATGGAGAACACAACACACTACAAAATCAAGTAAAAAAAAAAAATAGAGGAGATTTAACACGGTATCCAAATATTGTTTTAAAAAACCAAATTGTACATATTCCAGAAACTACATCAACACAGAGATTGCATATATACACACAGTTCCCTATTCTTTTATTTAGCAAGCTAAATAGTAACAGTAACCATTTTATTCGTTAAATCTAACTGCTACGCTCGATGCAGCTCTCTCAAGTATCTTTGAGGGCATCCCACAGCTTGTCCATTACTGTTAGGGTCTAAGTCTGATCTGTCTCGTTTCAAAGTTCAGCATTTTTTCAGATCTCCTCCTCTTTCTTCATTCATTATCCTCTTTCCACCACAGGGCCAGGGCTGGATTGAGGAAGAATATTTAGGGATATTTGTTCTTACACCTGTCAGGGCCCAGCTCCCCTGGTGTTGGAGGAACAGGGAATAGTGATAAATGAACTGTAGCCTGAGCTAGGGACCTACTGTAGATGGCATATGCAGTGTGTGGATGGAGGTATCTCAGCTTCCACATAGTGAGGAACCCCTTAGACTTGAGAAGCTGACAGAACTATTTGTGTTTATATAGCTAATACATATTTATAAATCAATAATTGTGACTCCCTATGAAATTTGACTTTTTATAAAATTATAAATCAGAATCCTCAACTATTAGAGCTTTCTAGAAGGAGCTTCCACAGGTAATGACACATCAGGTACTATAGCCTAATTTTTCTGACTCCCTTTTCGGATTTACTCTACTTTGGAAACTGACAGTAGACACAAGAATAACAGCAAAAGACTATGCTTTCAATCTTTTGCTTGATGAGAGTATAAAATTGCCAAACATAGCAAAGGAGGTGATGAATACTTGCATTTCTGTGCACAGTATAGGAGGTCCAAAGGGGCATGAGGAGGTCGTGGCTGTATCCACTCACAAACTGGCTCTGATAAAGAAGACAGATGCTGGGCCTCCCTTGCACAGCCTTAGGTCTCCCGTAGGGAAGCGTGCCACGGGCAATAGTCTTCTCTTGGGTTAGACAGGGAAAGTGGAACTACCATTAAATGCAGTTAGTGTGCATTATATAAACACTCTACTAACCATCTCCTGCACTTAGCTATACTAAACATTATTCTAACTGTATAACACAATTACACACAGAATTAGGTATTTTTCTGTTTCTCTTAGTAACTACACATTTTATTATACGGACATTTCTGTCGTATGCATATATACAAGTCTTTCAGACAGTGGTCCATGAATAAAAAGATATAAATTTAAAAAACACAATTATAAGCAGCAGAACCATAAATAATTAACAAAACAGAATGGCTTGCTGAATCTCTAACTTCATACTGAAAGATCAATGAGCAATCAGGGTAATGCAAGAAGACAACTACATAGAATTGCTAGAAATTCTAGCATCTTGGGATTTAGGTTACCAAAAAATTCTTTAATATTATTTTGAAAAGCATTCTTTTTTTTTGTCAGTTGTGGGGCTTGAACTCTGGGCTTGGGTGCTATCCCTCAGTTCTTCAGCTCAAGGCGAGCACTCTACCACTTGAGCCACAAGCCACTTCCGGGTTTCTAGTGGTTTATTGGAGATAAGAGTCTCACTGACTTTCCTCCCCGGGCTGGCTTTAAACTGTGATCCTCAGATCTCAGCCTCCTGAGTAGCTAGGATTACAGGCATGAGCCACTGGCACCTAGTTGAAAAGTATTCTTTTTTTGTGGTACTGGGGTTGATCTCAGATCCACTCAGCTGATGGTCTACCCTTTGAGCCACACCTCCAGCACTATATTACTTTCATTACTTATACTTCAAGACACACTGTAGAAAACATAAAATGTGAAATCAAGAAGCAGAGATTCAGAATAAAAATTGTGAGACTAAACTGAATGAAGCAGTAACAACAGAAACACTGTTTACTAGTCTTCTATCTCTCTACTAAGATTATATACTTGTTTTACCAATGAGGAAATAGCACCCTATAGGAAATTTTAAAAAATAACTTTCTATGGACATGTACTTCCTCAATCAAATTCAAATCCAAATTCAAACCCAATTCTGAAACTGTCTTCCTCTACCTCAATACTTTGGGAATAAAAAGATTTCTCTAAGCAGGGCACAGCTCAGTTCTGTGAGCTTAGAGACCTGAAAGTCTGAGTTTAGGAGAATCATGGACCAAACCCACTCCAGGCAAACAGTTTGTGAGACCCCCATCTCAGTGGAAAAAGCGGCAGAGTGCGGTTGCATGCACCTGACATCCCAGCTACAGCAGGAAGTAGACACAGGATGATTTTGGTTCAATTCAGCCCAGGTAGAAAGTCAGAGTCTATCTCAAGAGACTGCCAAAACAAAATGGCCTGGAACTGTGGCTCAAGCAGTATTTCTGCCTAGCAAATACGAAGACATGAATTCAACTATCAATACCACAAAAACAAACAAAAACTCTCTCTAATCCCAACACTTAAGAGATTCACAGATTTACAGTATGGGTTTTAAATAGGAAACTTCAAGTCAGGATTAATGTAGAATTTATGCCTTGGAAAAATTACACATGGAAAAATTAAAAATGTCAAGTAACTCCAAGATTTGAGACTGTATCAGAATGACTAAGAACATACAAGTCCAATTGAAAACTTTCAATTTACGAGACAGTCTTAATTTTGATTCAAAAGTTAGAAACAGTCCAGACACTGGTAGCTCACATCTGTAATCCTAGTTACTCAGGAGGGCTAAGATCTGAGCATTCTGGTTCAAAGCCAGCCAAGGCAGAAAAGCCTGAGGGACTCCAATTAGCCAACAAAAACCAGGAAGTAAAGGCATGGTTCCAGTGTTAGATCTCCAGTCTTGCATGCAAAAAGGTAAGTGAGTGTGTGAGGCTCCAAATTCAAGCCCCAGTACCAGCACCAAAAAAAAAAAAAAATGTTATGAAGAAGTGTCCCCTCCAAAAAAAAAAAAGAAAGAAAGAAGTGTCCCATAGCTACATCATTTATAACCTCTTATGAATCAGGTAGGTGAGACAGAAATTTAAAAATCATTTCAAGTGAAAATCTAAGGCTTTACTATGTACCTGTACCTATCTTAACATTTTCAAAGACTTCCATACTGTTCATAGTGTCTCAGCTTCCACTAAACTTACCCACTATACAATAACCTTTTATCCTGACTTCTGACTTTCCAGAACATCAGGCAAAGAAAGCTCTGTTTTTCCAGATGGCTGCCCATTATATTTTTTTTTATTTTACTGATTATTCCTAAATAAGTCCCCCAGTTGTCTGTAGCTCATATTACTAACAAAAAGTCTTGCTCCCACCACCCACGGGTGAGAGTAATATGCCTTACCTTCTGCCGTGGTCAGATTAAACCGTGTCTGAAAATCCACAATCGGCAGAATCTAAAAAGATTTATGAAATTATTTGTAATGTTAAGTGTTATGGTTTAATTTTGTAACATGCAATATCAACAGGGTAATTAATCCCAGATAGAACAAAGAGGAAAAGGTACAATTCTTTCATACATAACAGGTTTTTTTTTTGTCGGTCGTGGGGCTTGAACTCTGGGCCTGGGCGCTGTCCCTCAGCTCTTCAGCTCAAGGCGAGCGCTCTACCACTTGAGCTACAGCGCCACTTCCAGGTTTTTCTTCTTTAATAAAGAGGAAAACAAAGGAGGAATCATACTTGCAAAAGACAAATTGTCAGTAGAAGCATATCAGTAGTAATTGTAATATAAACCCTGGTTTATAATTAGTATGCTCATCAGTCTTACTATCAGCTTAAATCAAGCCTAAAACAAAACAGAAAAACAGGAAACTGAAAATTTCCAATTTCTATCTTTATGGATGTTCTCAATCTTTTTCACACTTTGCCAGGGATTTTTACCTTCTATTAAGATAGCTGCAACATGACCAGTTATATAAAAAGGCTATTGAACTCCTGTGATGACAGGAGTAAAAGAAGAACAGAGCCATATACCCATTTATTCCAAAAATATTTCCTGCCCTAAATTTACAATAAATGGGGTTACATTTTAGAGAAGGAACACTGTGATAGTTTTATTCTGTGCTAGAAACCTGGCTGCTATGATAATAGCCATCTCCAGGATTGCAGGCACTCAAAGTTCTTCTAGAATTCTCTCCTCTCCTGCCTCAAGTCAGCATAGCAGCATGGAATCAAAACAGCTAAAACTGGAAAAAGCGAGAGAAAGAAAAATAAGTAATAGAAGGCTTGCCTGTGTCCAAAGACCTAAACATGAATATATACATGTTCCATAAGTAGTCTCCCTACAGCTGATGTGCTTTAATTACACGTGGAGTTCTCTCATACATGCTGCACACACTATGATAAGCTCTCCAACGATACTCACCACAGGGTCACAGGAGCAGCCAAGGTTATCTCGGGAGGTTCCTGAGATGGGGCACTGCATTAGGGGGTGTGCTTCTTTGGGATGTGTTGGGGTATACACAGGATTTTTTAAAAGGTGGTTAAGACTTCCATGAGTTCCATTATTAGGAGCTGGGGTCAAATTCAGTAAATCTGTATGATTTCAAGAATGATAGTTACTTAGAAAGTTTCAAAACCAATAAATAGGAGATTATATTATGGTTTTTACTTTTTGTAACAATATACATGAGTCCTTTAGCCTGCAACTAAAATAAAATTTTCAAACCCTCTTCGCTTTTAGACTATTTATGGATATGCTCTCTTAATAGAAATACTGATCTACAGGCTGTATTTCTCTGAAAATTTCTCAATTTAAGATTTATGCTAACCGCACATACCATCTATTGCATCAGACACATGCCAGTGATTGTGCTCATATATTTTTTCTTATTTTTATCTTCAAAACACTTTGTAAAAGTTACCATCAATATTTGGTAGATGAATCATGAAAGTGTTTGATTAGGCACAAGGCCTCAAGGCTACTAATATACTAGGACTAGGATTCTAAAACCAGTTCTGTTTGAGACTAAGATGAATGCTTTTAATAATAATATCAATAACAAACAGTTATATAAGTACACATTATTACATAAGTACATAATAAAGACTTTATTTCAGAATAACTATATGACAGGCACTGTCTAGTTGCTTGAGCTATATTAGGTCATTTAAAGTTTACAGGCTCCAACTAAAAGAGGCTAGACATACTAAGATTTTGGAAATGCCTACTATCATTATCAGAAAAAGAAAAGAATATTTTAAACTCCATAATAAAAGTAATAACTCAGGGCCTGGGAAGGTGGCTCAGTGGTAGATTGCTTGCCTTGCATTCATGAGGCCCTGAATTTGATTCCTCAGCACCACATAAGCAGAAAAAGCCAGAAGTGGCACTGTGGCTCATGGTAGAGCCTTAGCCTTGAGCTGAAGAGCTGAGGAACAGCACCCAGGCCCAGAGTTCAGGTCCCATGACCGACAAAAAAAAAAAAAAGGTACTAACTCAGAAGATACAGACTTAACAGATACAGACTAAACACTATGACTGTGGGATCAGAAGGCTCTTGGTTCTAAGCTTGGCTTTATTAATCTACATTGGAAAAAAGAAAAGAATATGCTTAATGAATCCTCCTTTGTCTACTAGGTTGACAGTGCCATCCACTCACAAGCACTGCTACCTTGCATTCCACATAGTCTATTCAATTTTCACTGCCCCCCATACCAAGACTCTTACTTAAGAGTCATATCTAGCCAGGGGCATTCACAACTCTTACTTAAGAGTCATATTTAGCCAGGAGCATTCACAGTATATAGATGACCTTATGGTGAGTGCTAGACTTTACCTGTATAGGTGACCTAGTGGGAAACCAGGTATAGTAAGCTGGTGGTATATATGGTGGTATAGAAAGATTGTGGCATTTTTTTTTGTCTCTAGAACAGGAAGAAAGTGAAAATGCAAGGGTCTGTTTTCCTCACCATCATCTCAATAAAAATGCCCATCATGTCATCTACTTTTGATAATCTTCTGTTTTCTGTTCATACTTACCACACATTAAGTTATAAACTTCAATATTTTCAAAGGTGTCAACTTCAATGCCATGCTTGAATCCTGGTCCATAGCCAATGAAGAGGGCCTGGAATGGAAAATTAACAGCCTATCAGTTCAGTTCACGCATGTATATATTTGGTCAAAAACTTTACATTATCTACATTGTACATAAATAAACTGGTTATGTTGAAATAAATCAGAAATTTCATTCCAGTGGCCTTTATGGGATATTGTTTTAAGCTTTGTTGTACAAATAAGGACATCTAGAATATTTATATTTCTATTAGTTTTACTATAACCTTTGATTTAATGATAAGAACAGAACAGACAATGAAATCTTTCAGCTATGAAATGGGATATATCCCACTTAGTTCAAGCCTATTGTAAGAAAATTAGATAATAATAATAAATACATTTGGAAAATTTTAAACTGCTAGATAAACATAAGGTGTTACCTTTCAGATATAAGTATGATACATTTTTATCTATTAAATCACAAATAGATGCAAAATAATTATTAAAAACTTTGTAAGGAGATATGCTAGAAGGCAAATGTCCATGGTGCACAAATAGATGCAAAATAATTATTAAAAACTTTGTAAGGAGATATGCTAGAAGGCAAATGTCCATGGAAACATAAATAGAAAATATTAATAAAACCTTTAATATCTAAAGAAACATAACTCTATCAAAATATTTCATTAATTTATGTTCAAGACATATAATCACAGTCTATACTTTAAAGTATTAAACTTTATATACCAGTTTTTCTTAAGATTAATATTATTTTTTAACTATAAAAGGTTTACTCACTTGCATATTTGAGAAGACATTGTCAGATCCATGAAATCCATATCCACAATATTTCCTTTCTGATGGATTCCTAATTTTGATATACAATAATGTAAAGTCTGTTGTAGAACATACTTGATAATAATTCCATTGTTTTCATTAATAAAGAACTAGTAATTACTTTGTTAAACTAACATAAAGTAAATTAAAAACATTTGGCTTTGGAACACCAAATTTTTCTCCTTGATAACATATTGCTGAGAGTTATCCATGAAGTGACCAACAATTAGCCACAAAATGTGTGGCTTTGAATTCTGACTGTGCTGTTAACTAGCTGTGACTTTACACAATTTAGTTACCTTCATTGGGTTCAATTTCTTATGTAGGTCATTTGTAAAAACGCAATGAGATCGTCTAAAGCAAAGTCTTGGGATAGATTCATTACTACTTTCCCAATGAGAATAAGAATAGCCTTCCTTTGATTGTCTTCTAAACATGAAGAGCACAACTCACTAAGAAGAGTGGAAAAAGTATAATTCTGTTGCCTAAATCCTGTCCACTACTTAGGTTTTGCTTAATAGGGATATTTATCATAACTGGCTTCCTGACAAATATCAAAATGCTAATGATCAAAATTTTAAATATCAATAATATTAATCAGCCAAATAATTTGATAATTTGCTGAATGTACCAACAAACTGAAGTAGATTGATGGATTCATATAAAAAGAATGGAAAACTGTATAATATAGCTGCCATATTAGTATTAAATGCTTTCACTAATTATTAGACTGCAAAATATTATTACACATAATTGTGAATTGTAGAAAAGGTACACAGTCAAATAGTAAAAGATCTAGAAAGGGTATCAGGGCACAATTCATGGATCCTGTCAAACATCCCACAAAAAGGAATCATCCACTCAAAATAATTACAGGCCAACCATGAGAAGTCCTGGGTAAGAGTGAAAACAATGAGATAGGGACAGTTTTCACATTGTTTGATCGGGCCCAATGATTATCTTGAGTCATAACAGACTTGGTTAACTTTGCCTGGGAGTTGTCCAAACTTACAACGCAAGTTGCCACTGTGGGTCCATATAGAATGTCAATGGTTCGATCCTGTCACTTTTAGCAAAATGTAAACGCTTGGGTAAGAAGTGTTTCAGATAAGGCTTGAAGTGCTGGTTTGGTTCCCGGCACTGAAATTGCAATGGGTAAACAACAAACAAAACTGTTATCCCCACATTAGTGGAAGTGCAATGTTCTCTTGAAAACTCTTTCTAACTCTTATGGTTTTTCCCCTTACATTTTTACCAACCTGTCCAACAAGCCACAGATGGAAAAAATAAGTTCTTGTTACTTATATAATATATAAGTGAATATCACAAGCTAGTTGAATTTTTTCCTGGATGACATTAATATTGAATCACTAGGTTATATTAGAGATACAATTGATGATTCTATTTCAAACACCTTATTAAATGCAACTGTAAAGTTTTCTTTAAAACTTACAGTCTTGGGCTGGGAAGGTGGCTCAGTGGTAGAGTGCTTGCCTTGCATATATGAGGCCCTGGGTTCGATTCCCCAGCACCACATAAGCAAAAAGAAACAACACCAGAAGTGGCACTGTGGCTCAAGTGGTAGAGCGCTAGCCTTGAGCTGAAGAGCTGAGGGACAGCGCCCAGGCCCAGAGTTCAGGCCCCACGACCAGACCCAAAAAATAAATAAATAAATAAAATAAAACTTACAGTCTTAAAGATCAAGTTCAAACTGTTCATATGTAACTCAGAATTAGGACAAGGTCTTGTGTAAAATGTAAGCATTAGCTGGGTGTCAGTGGCTCACACCTATAATTCTAGTTACTCAGGAGGCTGTGATCTGAGGATCACAATTCAAAGACAGACTGAGCAGGAAAGACCACAAGACTCTTATCTCCAATTAATCACCCAAAGGCCAGAAGTAGAGCTGTGGCTCAGGTGGTAGGATGCTAACCTTGCACAAAAAAGTCTAAGTAGGGCACTGATGGCACATGCCTATAATCCTAGGTACTTAGGAGGCTGAGATCTGAGGATCATGGTTCAAAGCCAGCCTGGGAGGGAGACTCTTGTCTCCAATAAACCACCAGAAAACCAGAAGTGGCACTGTGGCTCAAGAGGTAGAGCACTTGCCTTGAGCTGAAGAGCTGAGGGACAGCACCCAGGCTCAGAGTTCAAGCCCCACGACCGACAAAAAAAAAAAAAAATCTAAGGATAGCAACCAGGCTCTGAGTTCAAGCTCCATGACCAGCAAAAAATAAAAATAAATGGAAGCATTAATAAAACAAAGCAAAGAGAGGACACTGGGTGTGTAGCTCAGCTTAGCAAGTAGGACTGCAGGAGTGGGAAAGGAAGAAAATGCTAACTGTGTTTATGGTGGTATCTCTTTCTAGGTTCTCTTTCTATATTTGTTTGTTTAATTGTTTCTGGGACTTTGAAAATTAGTACTTTTACATGTTTACCCAAACTCTCAAAAATTCTAATTGTATAATCCCAAGCATGGATATTGAACCTTCACTCTAAATATATATATATATATATATATATATATATATATATATATATGAAACATGAATCTAAAAATAACTAAATGATGAAAAATAAAATACTCACAGAAAGATTTCTGGCAATGTTTTCATAATTAACTAGAAGGGACAATACAAAAATGTACAATGTTAAGACTCAAGCCTATAAAATATGAATACCTAATCAAATTACAAAGAGTTCATTTACTGAGTCATTGCATATTAGCCAGTGAAATGAATAGAACAGATCCTTAAGAGCTGCCCTGAAACACACCTGAGAAATACTCATATTCTTAAATGAAAATGCAAGTTACAGAACATCTAGTTCATTCATATGCCTTCCCATTCAAATTCTACTCATTTAACCATCCATTCATCCACACATCCATCTCTGTTCATCCAAACAGCCATTTATCCATCTAATAGCTATGCATATATTCAGATAGATCTCGCATGATTTCAATGTACAAAATAAAAACAGATGTGTTTTAAATATATACAGTACGTTCCCAACTTAATAGCGGTTGTCTCTAGAGAGGAAAAATGCATTGTGAAGTAGGGAAACTTATTATGGACACTTATTTTTTACCATAGATAGTTAATAGACAGTGCAAAGTTTGGAATTTCCAAATATGAGTGGTACAGGGAGAGAGAACAAACAATTTAAATAGTAAGCTCACGAGATTTATCTAGTGTGCTTTGTGCTATACATCACTCTTTACTTTCTAAATTTCCTTTTATTAAATTTGGGGAAATTATTTGGATGATGGTAATTTATCTGGACACATATATATTGTGTATATATACATAAATGAATAAAATTGATATATAAATTTAGTTTGGGAAACTTGAGAGTCTGTCTAGCTAAGACACCATCCTTGGCTATCAAGTGAGGTCAAGACATAGTTCATGGCCTATCTGAGCTACAGAGAAAATACCTGTCTTGAAAAAAATAAAAAAATTAATGTAGAAAAGATTCATACTGGAGATTTAATCATGATACTTTGATCTCCTTTAGTGTAGACATAAAATGATTTAGAGAATCATATTCTTAATATAACTACATCCAAACTTACATGAATAGTATTTATCTGGGACATCAGAAGGTCTCAATCGAGCAGCAGGTCCATAGACAACTTTAATATTTTTAACATCTCCTAAATACTTATTCAGGTATACATACTTCTTACAACTGCCTTGTTCCATGCCTAGGGGAAAAAAAAACCCACAGTGCATACTGCAACTTCAATAAAGAACTTAACACATGAAGCAGAATATCTTTCATTCCCAGGACTTATTTAACTACATATGAGCTTAGCACTCAGATTCAACTGAACAACTGATAAGTAAGACACATAATTTCAACTATACCCACCAATTCACAATTGTGTGTGTGTGTGTGTGTGTGTGTGTGTGCGAGAGAGAGAGAGAATGAGAGAGAGAGCACGTTTGTGTGTCTGTGTGTGCACAAGCACCAGTGCTGGAGCTTGAAACTCAGGGTCTGAGTACTGCCTGTTAGCTTTTTCACTCAAGACAGGCACCACTAGAACAATAATTCTACTTCCTGCTTTCTGGTGGTTAACTGAGTCACACAAACTTTCCTGCATGAGCTGACTTCAAACCATGATTTCCAGATATCAGCCTCTTGAGTAGCTAGAATTACAGGTGTGAGTCACTGGAGCTCAGCTCCAACAATTCACTTTTGCAAAATATTTTCTTCTCCCTTCATCCCAAATTACCTTAGTGTTTCTTACTTATGTATGATAATACATAATATGTATGATAATACCCTTGTCAATAAAGGAGAATGTCTTAACACAGTTTTAAGCAATTGTTTGCTCAAAATCAATGGAGATTCTCTGCCTCAGTCTCAATACAGAATTGGAGCTTTCTTAGCCAATAATATCTTCAGACTTTCTATAATTATTTCTGAAGCAAACAGCAGCATTAAAAAGCAAAAGCAAACAGAGATTGCTTTCTACTTTCTTATATGGACTTCACTTCTTTAAGTACTAAAAATATTTATAATTGAGTCAACAAGACTACCTTATAAACTACTATCAGAATTAATACATAGCCCCTAAATTCATATTTATCATATTGAAGCAAATTAAAGAGGCACAGACCAATCTTCTCCAATTAAATCTAATATTGATTTACCAAAAGTTAATACTGAAAAAATTATTATAACCTGGCAAATCCTGACATAGACTTTTCACCCTTCAGAATACAGATTGTCAGGTTTCTGTGAGTACTGTGTCTTGTTTGTTTGGATACTGACTTTTTGTCCTAAATACTTTCCAAAAGAAACACTTTTAAAAATGCATAATCTATGCAGAGGAAACAAATCATGAAACAAATCAAATAAACCTTTGGTAATATGATTTAACCAGAAGAATAAAATGATATAAATTCAGATTACCATGATCTGAAAGAAGGATGAGGTTCAGGCACTTGTCCAAGTTCAGCTCTTTTAGACCATCCATCAACATGCCCACCATGCTGTCAACCCTCTGCAAGGCTTTGATGACCTGGAAGGGAAATCGGTCTCATATGACACATTCCATACTAACAGCTAAGTCTATGCAAAGCTATCTCTATTAGAAAAAAAATAAGTAAATGTTCAGCAAATGCAATTAGGATAAAGTAGTTCCATTGAGCCAAAACTGTTAAGATCAAAAGCATGAAAAACTGTAAACAACTTCTAATCATTTTCAGTGGAAGGGTCCAAATTCCCTATTTCTCAACCATAAACTGGATAAGCAACAATAGTTCATCTGGTTAGCTTTCTCTCTCCAGTTACACTAGACCAAATTTAAGTCAAAATAATACTAGCTCCATACTAGTGTTTAGCCCTAAACCAATCATTATTCGTTACCACTTTATATTTTATAATCAATTTCATCTTGAACTTTCTGATCATTTAAGGAAGCAACTGTAAGCATATTTCCTAATTTTCAAAAGTGTCAAGATATTCATGAAATGATTCTTACAGTCCATGAAATTAATTTTTTTTTGGGGGGGGGGGTCTGGTCGTGGGGCCTGAACTCTGGGCCTGGGCGCTGTCCCTCAGCTCTTCAGCTCAAGGCTAGTGCTCCACCACTTGAGCCACAGCGCCGCTTCCGGCTTTTTTCTTTTTGCTTATGTGGTGCTGAGGAATCGAACCCAGGGCCTCAGGCATGCAAGGCAAGCGCTCTACCACTGAGTCACCTTCCCAGCCCTGAAATTAATTTTTTAACTTAGAAAACTCAAGAACAGAACTGTCACTGGTATAAATAAGAGGTTTCTTTGGATTTCCATTTTCCATGCTAAAACACAGGTCCTGAACTCCACATAGGAAAAGCATTTCAAGGAATCTTTTAACAAGGAAAATCTCACAAGGTATAAGTTTTAGAAATGTATTCACCCAGCTCAGAAAGCAGAAAAGATTTTGTCTTTCCTATTTGTATTTCCTATATGTGGTACAGGAAATGTTGCTCTCTTTCTCATTTCTCCTGACTCTATTCTGTTATACTGATATAAACACTTGTTAAAACCTGAGTCTTTTGAGACTCTCCTTTTGGGGAGATACCCTGAAATGCTTTTCATCAGTGGATCTCCATGAATCTGAGAGAACAAAGGAACTTCTCAACCATCCTCTGATGATAAGCTGAAGTGGGATTTGTGGTGTTAGGAAATATGAGAGTTTAATAGAATTTGCAAGTTAAGGAACATAATTTGAAAACTAATAGTCTCAAGTTTGAATGAAGACATGTCAGGAAAGCAGGCACTTTAGAAAATCACTAGTGAATCAATAAAGGGCAGCACCCATTTTAGAACCCACTTGTAGAACCTGATAAACAATTGCAAAATGACCTTTGAAGGATTTGTTTTTGTTAATTGCTCCTGGAGCCAAAGGACCTAGACGTGAATGTAGGTGTCAGCGGTCATAGGAAACAAATAAAAAATCACACTAGCTGCATGGTCAGGTTATTAAAATAAACAAAATGCCTTTCTTATACTAGTTTTGAGAGAGCCAAGTTATTAGGCACATGCTTTTTTCTTACCCTGCTCTATCAAAGTGGTGGATCCAGACCAGATCCAAGGTTAGAAAAACAAAAGGAAACTGGTTTATGCAGATGTGGGGAAAATGAGCATGTTCTTTTCTCACTTCCTTTCTCTACTATTGCTTCAATAAGCATTTAAAGTCAAGTAGACTAAATAGGGCTGCTAAAAAAAAAAAAAAAAAAGACTCACAAAGGCTATGCCAGGCCAGTCTGCAGTCTGAACTCTGTGATAAAGAATCCTTGAGGCTATCCAGTCTGGTCCACTGGGCAGGAGAATTAATACGAATCTGGTGGGGGAAGCCTTTAAGGAAGTTTGTGTTTGTGGTCTCTTAAACCTAAGAATCACTGGAGGAAAAATATTACTAGACCAGAGATTCTGACACAACCTATATCCCTTTTTATCATCACCAATGGTATTCACAGAGCCTGCCTTTATATTTCTTTTCTTAGGTTATAGATAAAATACATATGAGAAGGTAGATCAACTTAGGAATAAAAGGAAAGAAGCTTAAATCATTGTCTGTTCTACTATTTCCTGTGCACCACAATATAAAAATGATATGGCCATATAAAAATTTTGAAATCAGTAAATTTGTTTTAAAGCACTATGCAGACAATAAAACTAGCCAGGAACTGGCTAAGTTCCAGAGGATGCCAGGCCAAATGAGATGTTGCATTATGATCTGATAAATAAACTAGTTTCCTATCTTTTGTTCCCGAGCAACTATTCAATAATCCTAGCCAAGCTCCAGTGATTAATGCCTGTAATCCTAGCTACTCAGGAGGCTGAAGTCTGAGGACCATGGTTCAAAGTCAAACCTATGAGACTTTTATCTCCAATTAACCACCAAAAAGCAGAAGTGAAGCTGTGGCTCAAGTGTTAGAGTGCTAGCTTTGAGCAAAAAAAGCTCAGGAAAAGTGTCCAGGCTCTGAATTCAAGCTCCAAGACTGGCACACACAAAATTAAATCCTTATTTGTATATTTCTATAGTTTTGATTAAAAGTCACCTATCCTTCAAAGTCCCAGCTGTGTCACAAGCATGGTCGCTGGCAGCCAGAGATGTATTTCCTCAGTAGAAAGGTTAGTTAGGCAAGGCTACTTCTGCTACTTGACTCACATTCATCTGTATTCCCAAAGAAAGTTGAAATCTTGGCTATTTACAAGACTCTCTTATGAACACTCAAGGGTGTAGGCCAAAGGAGGATAAAGAATGAATAAAGAAATTTAAATTAAAAAAATATAGAGGTCCGTTCATCAGTTCATCTAACACCAGGAAAAGGTAAGAAAAAATTTTTTGTAAAGTCTAATAAAGTAATTACTGATTAAAAAAAATGTACTTACTTCACTGCTGACTGGTCCATAAGAATGACCTGAAGAATCTGGTTCTTCTAAATACAGAGTGTAAAAGTGTGGTCTAAATCAAACAGTATCAAAATGTAATATTTTACGAACACATTGAAAAACAAAATGGAAAAAATAATTCAATAACTGATAGTTATTATAAGTTCTGTATCACTGTGGTAACAGCTCTAAACTTGCTGAGAAATAACTTACAGGTTTGGTATTCTTTAAAATGAAGCTGTAACAGTTCACAAAAGAGTGTGGATAAAACATTACAGACAGCAAAGTGTTGTTGTAATCTACTTTTATTATTAAGCATGTAATTTTTATAAGCCCAAAAGAGTATTGATAATAGAAATTAATTAACTACAAACCTTTCATCTCTAGGAAGTTGTAACCACTTTAGAACAGCTAAAATTCTTTCTTCAAATGGAACTGAACTAAAATTAAGAACAAACAAAATGAAACAAATAAGTGGCAATTGTAAGGATTTTAAATATAATTGTTATACTTATTGAAAATAATACACTGATAAAGTCTGAGAAAGTGTTCTTATTACATCTCAGTCAATGGGTGTTTTAAAGCTAAGGACTCAATTTTTTTTAAAAAAAAAAGAGAATGAGGGGAATTGAGCTGTCTTGTAGTTCACATTTCTATCTCCTTATCATTATTTGGTGTTAATCAAAAATGTTTTAAATATTTAAGAATATGAAAATGTTAATTCCTCTGATTTACTCACCACATGTTACATGGGTGTATCAAATGGGCACAATATACCATATAAATATGACAAAATAAAGTTGATCTGCACCTACCCGTTATATACTTTATAGATGTCTGGAAGAATTCCATCAATTTTCACATCTGATCCTGGCCAAAAAAAGGTTCCAGACTTGAGGTCTTGATACTTAGCTGTGAGCCAAATCTGGAGAAGCGAAATAAGGGCAGTTAAGACGTATTACGGAATACCAGTGGTGCATGCCTTTAATCCTAGCTACTTAGGAGGCTGAGATCTGAGGATCATGGTTCAAAGCCAGCCTGGGCAGGAAAGCCCATGACACTCTTATCTCCAGAAGACCACCAAAAACCCAGAAGTGGTGCTGTGGCTCAAGTGGTAGAACACTCACCTTGAGCTGAAGAGCTGAGGGACAGAGCCCAAGCCCCAAACCCCAGAGTTCAAGCCCCATGACCGATAAAAAAACAAACAAACATGCAAGCATTCATAGCTTAGCAACACCAACTCATTCCTCACGAGAGTTAGAGTATGGCTGAGGTCACTCAGCTCTAGCAGTTAGACCACAATGCTCATATAATATCACAAACACAAACAGCAAACGAAAAAGAAATAAAAATGGATGCAAGTCAGTTGTCAACTCATGAAACTTTTGCATTTAGAAGCTAATCACTATTTGATAGGTTTCTCTCAAAAGAGAAAAATTCACAAGTATTCTTATCTTCAATTGGTGAACATCTTATAACTAACATTTATTAAGCAACTATTATACCTAGTCACAAGTGTGAATTGTATTCCTATAAGCATTCTATACTATTAATGTAGATAGTTTTCATAATAATCCTACAGGGTAGTGAAGTACTTATCTACACTGTAGATGAGAAAAGTGAAAGACATAATGACTTGCCCAAAATAATACAGCTTTAAATGACAGACGTAAAATCTGAATTCATAACCTACAAATTAAACACTATGCCCCTCTTCTTTCTAAGAGGAATTATTGAGATGATCCAAATACACTCTATGTAATTATTATAACTTTTTAAAAGTAAATAAGGGAATACTTCCAAATTATAATTTTCAAAAACTTCTAAATTATCACATATATACAAATGAAAGTCAAGGCTTTCTTCTTTCAAAAACAAAGTAGTTTTATGTAGATCAAACTATTCCCTGATAATAGCTGTGTGTTTATGATATTTCAGTACATGCTTATAAAAGGGTAGTTCACATTTCTATCTCCTTATCATTATTTAGTGTTAATCAAAATGTTTTAAGTATTTAAGAAGATGAAAATGTTAATTCCTCTGATTTACTCACTACATGTTATATAAGTGTATCAAATGAGCACAATATACTTTATACATATATATATATAAAATGAAGTAAATTTTTAAAAATTATTGCCACAAACTACTACTGTAAGATGAAGCAAGAACATAAATAAATAAACTAACCAAATAATTTGTCTCTGAAATAAATTACACGAACCAAATTTACATAATCATACAAACTGCATTTGTATGATTTCGGATCATTTAGGATGGCCAGTCTTTATCTCCACATACAAAAGTGTGGCTACAAACACAATAAGGATTGAAAAAGATGAGAATAATGAAATTTTTGCGTGAATTCAGGGCCTCATGCTCTCACTTGATCTTTTTAGCTCAAGGCTGGTATTCTACTTGAGTCACAACTCCACTTCAGCTGTTTGCCGGTTCATTGGATATTAGAGTCTCATGGACTTTTCTGTCTAGGCTGGCTATGAAACACAGTCTTTAGATCTCAGCCTCCTGAATAGCTAGAAGTACAGGCATAAGTCACTAGGAACTGGCTGATAAAGTTATTATTTTAATATTTAGTAACTTAAAGAAACAAGTAAAAAAACTTACTGGCTGTCCTTTGTACCACTCAGGATTAAATTTCTCTTTACTCTTAAGTGAGAAGGAAGCATTCATTTTGGGATCATACATTTTATTGTCAATTATGCCATGGGATTCTGGATAAAGACCCTAAAAAAGACAGAATAGAGACTGTACAACATATCATAAACAAGTTGCTTTTCTTTTCTGATTGGACATGTACTTATTCCCTTGAAGAATGGATTAATTACATATGTAGAGTAGAAATACAGAGCTTACTGTGACAATGCTGTAGTGATTGGGAAAGGTTTTTGTTGGATATACAGGTCTCATGTTTCTAGTGTATGTTCCACAGTTTTCTAGAAAGAAAATAAAACCCATCATTATTAAACATATATGATAATTTATTCACCACATTTAGCTTTCATAATACAACAGGCAAAATCACATAAAATAATTAACCCAGGGGTGATTTAGAACTTTCTAACAATTCAGGATGAATTATAAAGCAACACGATGAATCCAGAGACAATAGTAAATGTAAGAATTACAGTTGAGAAAATTGTAACCAATAAGTGCAGTGTTTCTGTACTGAGTTGTTTAAAGCTGTTCCTGAGATCAGCTTGTATCTGTCCCATTGCTTTCCTAATGGCTCAGAGTTCTAGACTACATCTCCCATTTACCCAATGCTAGGGTTGAGGCTAACTACACACTGTTGTCTTTAAAGCTTCCTATGCAGGTACCTTCAGCTCTTTAATTTTGAACTGAGGATGCATTTTGTTGCCATGGAGACTACCTCTCCTCAGCACAGTTAACAAAGGACTGGCCAAGCCCTTCAAAGCCCCCAGGCTTGCTGTTGAGAACAAACCATTTTCTGTGCAAGATTATTGTCATGACAAATGAGTATTTATTATTTAAAAATCCAAACTTATCCAGGTAGAAATTTAAAATCTAAAACTTTAAAATTAAGACAAGCATAACGAGATCTAAATGCAGTTACTGAGAGTAATTTTAATATTTAAAACCACTGCATATATTCAATCCTAGAAAATAATATTTTACAACTCCACAAGAACATGAAGGTAATTGTATTCATCTACTCCCATTTCAGTCCAGTAGTACACAGTAGCAATGTAAACACTGAGCACTGATAATTAGTTCTTTTCTATAGATAAAATCCATAACTGACCTTTTTCCTGTTTAAATAATAATGACCTTTGAACTGATACCCACATTACTGGCTAGTTCATGTGATTTAAAACCTGTGTCAGTTTTTAAAAACATCCTGCATCATCAGTAACTTGAAATATCCTATGTCATCCCTCATATTGTTGGCTATTTATGTGATTTTAAACATTGGCATCAGTTTTAAGAAACTATACTATTTCATCAGTGACATCCTATTTCATTCAATTAAGAAGTTGATTGAGATTAAGAAACTGAAATGATACTTATTCAATGACACTGATAATACAACCATTAGCACTATTAGTCTGTATAAGTATCATCATATTAAGTTCAGAAAAATCACAGCTTTTGAAATTCTGGGGTTTTTTTAATTCATAAAATAAATGTTTCTACAAAAAGAATCCTTCCTTAGAAAGACCAAATCAAAGCTCAGCAAAATAAAACACCAGTAAGTAGGTACTTGAACAGGGTGGGGTAGAGTCAAGGGGTGAGGGGTGAACAAATGAAGAGGGAGAAGATGCAGTTAAGAATCCAAGGTATGGGGCTGGGAAGGTGGCTCAGTGGTAGAGCGCTTGCCTTGCCCGCATGAAGCCTTGGGTTCGATTCCTCAGCACCACATAAGCAAAAAGAAAAAAACCGGAAGTGGTGCTGTGGCTCAAGTGGTAGAGCGCTAGCCTTGAGCTGAAGAGCTGAGGGACAGCGCCCAGGCCCAGAGTTCAGGTCCCATGACCAGACCCAAAAAAAAAAAAAAAAAGAAAGAAAAGAATCCAAGGCATATCCTCCGAAGGGAAAAAGAATGAGGGAAGGGGTGAGTAGGGGAGGGACGTGAGAGAGGGATGTGAGAATGTTGAAAGGGGCGACACTGTTCAAGATGTATTGCATTTATAAACTGCTTTGTCAAGTGGCAATGCCTTTGTACAACTATTAAAACATGTATCAAATGCTCAAGGATTGAAAAATCCTAACACAATTACATCTTAAAAGATTTAAAAAGCAGCTTTTGGTGAATCAAAATACTGAAGGACTAGAGCCTTATCATCCGGATCAACCACTAGGCATTGGAGAAGTTTGGTGAAACAGGTTTTGCCAGTACTTTTCCAAAAAAACACTGCCTCTCTAAGACTATCTCACCAAAATCGTGAACCTTAAGCAGTCAACTCTGAAGTTACTTACTCAGTTTGCTAATAACAGGAAGAAGTCCCCCCCAAGTGTGTAAATATTCTGCCCTGAATCCATCCAAGGAAAATAAGAGCACAGGAGGTGAGTCAAACCTAGGTAATGAGAAAGGGGAAAAAAATGTTTAAAGAGGGCACAAGAAGACACAGCAATAAAGATGTTCTCTGTTCTTGGCACAGGTCCAGGGAGGCTTTTCACTGAGCTCTGTACACTAACTAATCTTAAATAAACTGACAAGGCAGCAAGAACACTCACAAAAGTTCTCTTACATTCATTTATAATTATACACATGTTTTATAACTGCATAAAAACGTATCTATCATTAAACAGTAGTTATGAAGCTTTCATGCTATTGAATCAACATGTAGAGAACTTCATGCACAGTTCCTGCCATTTTAAAAGCTACACCAAATGCTATTAAAAATATGACAGGATACCCATAATCTGCTGGAAAATCAGTAGGATATCCAAAATTACATTTTTGTTTCTATTGTATATTTTCCTGAACAACCACTTTCTGATATTGTCTCTCTACTATGACAAATGATACTTCATGCAGGGTAAGTTACAGACCATGTTTTGGTAGAGTTCTTTTTGCAGTATTGGGGAATCAAAAATTGTGGCCCTGTTTATGTAAATATTCACCCCTTTAGCTATACCTTTAGCCTTATAGCTAGTTTTTTTTGGTTACTTTTATTTATTTATATTTAGTATATATATATTTTATTGTAAAGATACTGTACAGAGGGGTTACAGCTACTTGAGTATATTTCCTATCCAGCATTGTTATCTCCTCCTTTTGTAAAGATGTAAATATCTAACACAGAAGCTTAGGAGATATTTTATATTCAAATATTTAAATAACAAAGAAACACTTTACTGCTAGAAATGATCAAGCAAAGCTGTTACACACACACACACACACACACACACACACACACACTCAAAGATAATATACATGGTGTAGAAATACAAAGAGACAAATAAAGCTCACACCTGATGATGTACTCAACAAAAGAGAGGCCCTACCACTGCTTGCTGGGTATCTGCCTATCCAAACAGCAGGTGCTGTTTTTGCTGAGTTTTTGCTGCTTCCAGTACACTTGGTAGAGTAGTTTGACATCACCAGATAATTGTAAAAACTTTCTACACTTCACTCAGTGACATAAACTTTGAGATCATGTACTTATTTACCTTTTTCAACCCAACTTCCTTCCTCCCTCCTATCCTCACACCCAAACATAAAAGCAACCCTACAAAAAAGGAGAACTCTGTTACACAATTCTCACTACTAGTGTCTGTAACACAGTGCCCTTAGGAGACTAGAGACCAGGTTGTATGTCATGTCAGTGGTCCTTACTTTGTATAAAACTATTTCAATTCCTGTATTTTTCTTTTTTGCTGATAAGGGAGTTTAAACTAAGGACCTCCAGCTCATCCTGCTTGCTGACTCAGAATACCTCCAGCCAACTTTTTGCTGGTTAATTGAAAATGAAATCTTACAAACCTTTCTACCCAGGCTGGCTTTGAACCAGTATCCTCAACATCTCAGCCTTGTGAGTAGCTAAGATTAGAGATATAAACCACCATGTGTAAAACTATTTCTATTCAGTCGGCAGAAAACAGATAAGTAGTTTAGGGAGTCATCAGGTAACTATTTAGTATAATTATTTCTATATTATTATAAATTGTAAAGTTTAGAATAGTATTCTAAATTGTGATTATAAAGGAGTAATATTTTTCACTAATGTTTCCAACAGCACAATTGAAAAATAATGATCACCATTTCTAGTATATTTCAGCAATTAAAGTACATCTCCTTAAAAAGACCCTTCTGATGAGATTAGTATAGATTAATGGAATTTAGGTTGGCCATTGTTACTTAAGTTTTAAACAAAAAAGGGCGGGGGAAGCTGGCTTAGTGGTAGAGTGCTTGCCTTGCATGCATGAGGCCCTGGGTTCGATTCCTCAGCACCACGTAAGCAGAAAAAGCCGGAAGTGGCACTGTGGCTCAAGTGGTAGAGCACTAGCCTTGAGCTGAAGAGCTAAGGGACAGTGCCCAGGCCCCACAACTGGCAAAAAAAAAAAAAAAAAAAAAAAGCAGTTCCTCATGCAGAAGAAAAACCACATATGACAAAAATAAATTACTTTTAGGAAAAAATGGATTACAAAAAATGGGTTTAAAATCTGTAAAAACTTGGCAAAACCATTATTTTAACTAGTTAAAAAATATTTCTGTTCAAATTATATGAACTAGGTCTCAAGTAGAATAAATATATCTATCTCAAATACTTTCAAATCCATACAAATTCATTTTGATTGGCTTATATGTGTAAGGTTCCATATAAAATAACACTGAATATCCCAACTTCCCCAGGATGTGGGACTCAAACCCACAATCGGCAAAGGAGATCCCCAATACTCAGTCAGTCTAGGAATCTTTATTAGCCACAGCAACGGCTCCCCACTATATCAGGACAGTGAAGAATAGCATCCAAGCTCTATTATGGCTGGGTTTTAAAGCCACACACAGATGGGCAGGTGGGGGTATACGTGATAGCAAACAGGTTTACAGAAGCAGAAATAGCAGTTAGTAAAACAGCAATTACAGTCTCAATAAGCAAAGCAATAAGTTATCAAAGCAAAAACCTCATTCCAAATTCCCCCTTTGTTTCATTCCCAATAAAGTTTAGCTGACATTTACCAGAACACATTCTAACCTTCTTACTTATCACACCCAAAATCAAACCAACTTCCAGGTTTTCCCAGTTCTTTCTGAGTTTCATTGTCATTCACTGCACTTAATTTGTTCAACTCTCTAATTTACTTTGAGTCTCTATCTCTGAGAATTTCCTTTAATAGTTATTCTGGAATTTCTCTCTACAAAGAGGTTCTGCCTTAAATGTTTTGCCCTATTTCTGCTAACTACATTGAATGTTCCCCTTTACTTATTTTTCTTGGTTCTCACAATCATAAGAACAAAAGAGACAACAAGGGTTTTAAATGTCCTCTAACATCCTCCTAGCAGCATGTTACTTAACCCCCAATTACATAAATGTAAATATAAGATACAAAATATAAATACAAACACAAAAAATAATAAAAATGTAAAAAAAAATAAAAATGTAAACTAATTGGCATCATTTCAACTCTCAAAACTCCAAATCAAAATACACAACCTTCCTTCCTAAAACAGAAACCAAGCAGTCATGAATAGCATTATACAAAGTATCTATGCCCTTTTCTAGTAGCTTTTAGAGTATGGGTCACTCTATAATGCTCTTTATCCACCAGTGCCAAATACAAGATCTGACTATAAACAATCTTTAATGAAGTTATGATTGACTACTGTTTTTCACCTTCTAATTTCTAAAGAGAAAGAAATGTTTATTATAAGAAAGGAAATGCATATCTATATATATAAATACATATATACATAAGTATATATAATATATTCTTACTCTTCTGGACATTGTGGCTTATTAATGCTCTCACATGGTTCTTCTACCCAACTTTTCTTACCTAAAATATTTTCAAGAGATAAAATGAGGTAAATTAATTTAATAATGATAGTAATAATGATAGCAACGGCAAAGGTAATGAGACACATTGAGATAGATTGCCAAAACAAAATGGGTTGACAACATGATGCATGTTGAATTGGAGAAATAAAATGAATCAAGGGAGTTATTTTCAAAATAAAATATACTATACTCAGCTCTCTGTATCTGTATGTTCTAAAGCTATCAACTCAACTAACTGCAGAGCAAAAAAAAAAAATATTGCATATGTCCTAAATATGCACAGATTTTTTTTTTGTTTTCATTACCTCCTAAACAGTATAGCACAATTATTCACAAAGCATTTACACTGTAAGTATCATGGGTCACTTAAATGGAAAGATCAACTGGATTTTGATATCCACAGAGGAGCTAGAATCAAATCCTCATCGGATACAGAGGGAAGACTTTAATGTCTCTGTGAATACTCACATATCTTTTTCATTTTCAAAAATCTTAATTTTTTAACTAGAAGTTTCAATACTCCTTCCAATCAATTTACAAAATCTCTGCCATTCTGATGTCATAGATCTCTCATGTAAGAGTCATATTCTATCAAGAAATTTCAGGGAATTATGAAACTCATAAATGTTATAATAGTATCTGCTTAAGAAATAAACTTCTAAAATAATTTTACATTGATGCAACACATGGCAGACATCACTGACATTTCCTACAAGGAAACCTAAGATATAAATGTCAGCCACATCTAGAAAAACCTTCCTTCAATAAATATCACATTAAGCAACTACTATCACAATAACTTAGGGAGGGTAGTGGAAAAAAGTGGTTGTAGCCCCAATAAAACGGGCCATGTAAAGACAATCATCATTACTAAGTTTGGATGATGGACAATCAGTACAACTTCTAATATAAAAGGTAACACCCAATGCAAACCCCCCAGTTTCCCCTGGGAGATGGCAGGCTTCCAGGGAATCACTGGGTGAGCTACAAAGCTACCACCTTGACACACAGGGCTGTAGTTGATGCAGCAATCTCCATGTTCCTGGCAGTCATCTGAACAGGAACAGAGGTTTCTGGTCAACCTTTTCTCACCACATCTGAATTTGTTGCAGGTCCATATATGTCCTGGAAATAAATAGCAATAAAATAGGGTTTACAATTCAAATTCAACATCTCCACAGTGGATAGAGAAACTATTCTGTCTTATTGTCATCTGAAAATAGCAGCCATGAGAAACAATAAACTGTGTCATTGTTCACTCAGAATCTGGCACCACTGTGGTCATATGGAACTAACAGAAAACATGCAAGTGCCAATGACTATTATTTCACAAAATAACCCACAGGATTTCCTTACTTTAAAACTTAGACACAAAACAATAATAATAATAATAATTGTGATTCTATAACTCATGAAAACTTTGCTTCTTCTAACAGCCATTTTTCAAGGTTCTAAAATGTAATCTATAAGAATAGGCATGGTGGCCTATGTCTATAATCCCAGCGCTTAGCAGGCCAGGAAGATTGGACTACAGAGGAAGTTTGAGGCCAGTTTGGACTTAATATACAGAAACTGTGCCCCCCCCCCAAAAAATTGAGGAATCTGGAGGTATGGCTCACAGTAGAGTACCAGCCTTGAGTGAAAAAGCCAAGAGAGAATGTGAGGTTCTCAGTTCTCCCAGTAAAGAGCACACACAAAATATTTTTTTAATTTAAATTTGACTAACTCCCATTTCAAAATTATTTCATGTCACAGTCCTTAACCAAACTGAGAAAAACTTCCTATTCTGATGGCTTTATTTTAAAGTGTAAGTTAACATCTGAGCGCTCTCTTTAATACCCATATGAAAAAGGTCACATTTTTCAAGAAGCCTTTTAGAACCTCTTCAAGACTACAAGTTTTTCAGGGTACTTTAAGAATAAGCAGTTGTGTTATCCATGATGATCCAATGTTTGATAAAGTTATATTAGGTAAAATTTGTTCTCTGTGGAGCAAAAATGTAAAGATTGATGTCAAAATATATGCTAAACTTTACAAACTGAAATGAGTATGGTCAAACTGCAGAAATTTCTTCGGTTTCCATGCACATTCTTACCTGGTTCTACGCATGTCTGTGGAAATCTAGACAGCATTTCCATGCACATTCTTACCTGGTTCTATGCATGTCTCCTGGAAATCTAGACAGCAGTTTCCAAGGTCAACACAAGCAGCATCACACCGACAGTTCCCGAAGGTTCTCTCAAAGCAGCGGCCTTTGCAACTTTTTACTGAAAATTTCAAATAAGTTAGATGCTTGCAATCATTACACAATGATAAGCAAGTACCCACAAATACACACTGCTTTAGAAAATACACAAGAAGAGACAGAAACAGTAGGTAAACTTTCATATAGAAGTTTATAGTTTCAGCCAAGCACTGGATGGTTTATGCCTGTAATTCTAAGTACTCAGGAGGCTGAGATCTTAGGATTGTGGTTCTAAACCAGCCAAGGCAGGAAAATCTGTGAGACTTTAATCTCCAGTTAACCACCAAAAAACAAGAACTAGAGTTGTGCTCAAGTGGTAGAGTGCTTGAGCACAAAAAACAGAGACAAAGCCCAGGCCTTGCGCTTTAGCCACAATACCACACACACACACACACACACACACACACACACACACACACACACACACAAGTGAATAAGGTCTAGTTCTGAATATTTTAATTATACTATGAAAATTGGCTAATAAGTGGTTATGGAGTTCTCTAACATCAAAATGCAGAGAAAAAATTAAAAAGCATTCATTTAGGTCTATTTCAGAAAGAAAACCTAACTTATCTCCAAGTCTTCATGTATGTACAGGTGCAGCCAGAACTGTCCCTTCCACATGACCTATGACACTTACTGCACCTTCAAAGCCAGCCTGACTCTCTGCAGGAGACTTTTCTACTCATCTCTATAGCCCGGAATGGATTGCTTTCTTTTTTGTTGTTGTTGTTTTTGGGGGTTTTTTGTTCTTAAAAAAAATCTTGTCCTTCCTCTAAATCACATAAACATATTAGTAACTAGGTTATTTAGTTAGTATCCCTGGCTCATTTTAGAATACAAACCAGCCCTGGGCAAAAAGCTAAGGAACAGGATCCAGTATCTGAGTTTAAGCCCTAGTACCAACACACACAGACACACACAGACACACACAGACACACACAGACACACACACAGACACACACACACACACACAGACACACACACACACACACACACACACACACACACACACACACACACACACACAAACTACAGCAGCTTTCCTAGATCCCTTGGGAAAGTTAGGCCTTAATTGTATTGCTAGGAAATTAGGATAATGGGAAAACAAAAAGTACATATAAAATAATGATAATCCAAAGAAAAAAAGGAATAATTTTAGTTCTTGGCTTTAAAAACTCATCAAGATGCTGCAATGGGATTTAACTCCCACTTGGTTCTTAGAAATCAAGGCAAATTTATGGACAAAGTAATGGTAATCATTTCTACAGTCAGGAACACTACTTTCCTGTGTCTGGGAGATAAGAGATTGTTATAACAATAGTATTATTTGGAGCTCATTAACATGCATCTAGTAATTTTAAAATATGTTACATATTACATTGGGTTCGTATTTTAAAACTTTCAATACTGCATTTTGCTGCATCAAATTAAACTCTAGGTGAGTTGCTACATATGTTGAAAGATTATGTAGGTGGATACTGAAGTCTAACTTTATTTTTGTTAACATTAGATAGTTTTGCTCTGAATAGTCTCCTAAGTAAATAAACAAAGCTACTATATTTCATTCATTTCAATGATACATGATAGCTTAAAAACCGCTAAATCTTTTTAAATGAGTACTACTACAATAACAGGATAATTGAAGAGGAAAAAGCTGTACAATTTTTAAAACTGAATATCCAAGGAAAACCATTCATATGGGAGTGGGGGAGAATACCTCATAATAATAGAATGGCCACTACAATTTACTGTGATCTGGTTTCATTATGTATAGTAATTGCTTATCAATGTCAGAGAGACTTCAACTCTTGAAACAAATAAAAACATAATCAGAAGTTTAACAACTTCAATATTACTTTGAAACTACCCATGCTGGCAATCTGAAACCTAAACACAGGTACTGTTCAGTTTCTAGTTGTCCAGGAAATGCTAACTAGTCACCTAGTAACCTCTGGAACTACTTCAGCAACCAGCTCCTGGGGGAGGAAGACTGTGCAGGAGTCCCTGGGGGGATAAGAGAAAAGGGGCTCCAGGGACACCACAGGAGACCTGCTGGCCATGTCTGCAAGGGCTTGGGCTCTCGTCACGGTTCCTCTCTCATGTTTTAAGATAAAGTTTCGTAAGTAAATAAGATTTTCTATCACTACAATAATACAAGAGCTTCAAGAATAAGGCTCAAAGAAACAGTACATTTGCAGTATCTGTGGAATACACATAGAATTAGTATATCACATCACATTGTGAAATTATGAATGAGGATGAACACACACACACACACACACACACACACACACCCCTAAGTTACCTTCTTTGGCACAGCTTGGTTTCAACCCAAATATACAGCCAAGGATTGTTGTTAACACACACACTGACAAAACCTGTCAGGGGAGAAAAAGAAATTATGTAGTTTTGAAATCCTTTTTCTAAATGTGTCATTTCTTGAAAAGTTTCTAAAACCTTAGCTATTCAGCAGGCTGAGACTTGAGGATACTGGTTTGAAGCAGCCAATGCAAGAAAAGTTCATGAGACTCTTATCTCCAATTAACCACTAAAAAAGGCCAAAGTGGAACTACGGCTCAAGTGGTAGAGCGCTAGCCTTGAATGAAAAGGCTAAGGGACAGTACCCAAGTTCAAGCTCCAGTCCTGTCACCAAAAACAAAAGCATGAAAAAAAAATGTTTCTGCACAAAGGCACCTATGTGCCTATGTGCTTCTGATCATTTAAAATAATATTTATCAAAACAAACTCCAGGAAATAGAAAAGGGAGTTTTTCCCTTTGTTTTTATTTTCTTTTTGTCTGTCTTTGGGAAAGGTAAAGGAGTACAGAAATGGACGGACAAATATGAACAAGTGGAGCAGTGTACTCATTAGGCAGAATATTGAAAATGAACTATACAATTTGTGGGTAAGGATGGGAGGGAAAAAGTGGGATAAACAAGGGGTGACATGGTCCAAGTAGAAATGTACTCTTGACTTCCATAACTGCAACTCCTCCATACACCACCTTTATAATAACAAATACAAAATATTTTTAAAAGAATAGCAGGAAGGAAAAAGGCCAAATACCACACGTTCCCATACAATAAAACAACTAAATACACTTAAAAAAATGTTTCTAAACTTCCTGATCTGGTTACTGGCCACAGGGATATGTTCACTTTCTGGAAATTCCAAAAGGTACAGTTATGATTTATATTCTGTTGTGGGAGCATGTGATAGCTTAATAAAACTTTGACTTGAAAGTCAGCAAACAGTTGTAGTTAATGTAATGAGTAACTCCTCCAACAGTATAAATGAATTAGTCACAATTAATTGTAATGAAGGAGAAAGAAAATTCTTTTTGGAGACATGATTTCCTGTTTGTTCAATCATTAAAGACAACCAGAAATCGTGAGAGGCCTCATCGTCACGGGCTCTGTGGCCACACATGTTAAGGAGTGCTAGAAGATTACCTGGACCCAAATATTGCCACAAACAAGTTGTCTGATTCAGAGTGTTCACTGAAGCTGTATAAGCAACAGGTTTTAATCTGTAAAATTAAACCTTAAAAATGTTCTAGTGTTAACCCTTTGCAGTTTCCTCACTTTCTACTCTCTGGCCATTGACCTTTTAACATACATGGACAGGGCCTTAAGACCTCTAATAACAATGATAGAACTTCTAAGAGAAGGCAAAAGAGTAAAATTATCCATAAAAGAACCCTCGGGTTCAATGTTTGGCTGTTGTTTTATTTGTTTGTCAGTCTGGTTTTTTTTTTTTTTTTTGTCCAGTTGTGGGGCCTGAACTCTGGGCCTGGGCGCTGTTCCTCAGCTCTTCAGCTCAACGCTAGCGCTCTACCACTTGAGCCACAGTGCCACTTCCGGCTTTTTTCTTATGTGGTGCTGAGGAATCGAACCCAGGGCCTCAGGCATGCAAGGCAAGCACTCTACCACTGAGCCAACTTCCCAGCCCCAGTCTGGTTTTTTTTTTTTATAGTAGCATGATATTTCCTTGAAGGTTCTTTGGAATGTCAGCTTGCAGAGCTTTTATGAGGCACTGAGTTTGTGTAAAGTCTCTTATGCATTAAAGGGAAAATTAAGGGATACCTCAGGATGTTGTAGAGAGAAGAGAGACAGTGGCACAGATATCCTATATTTGGTAGGCTGCATGAACTGGTAAAAATGATCTATGGTTGTTTAAAGAATAATATAAAACAATCAAGACTTCTCAGGATAAAAATATCTGAGTATTTGGGCTGGGAAGGTGGCTCAGTGGTAGAACGCATGCCTTGCATGCCAGAGGCCCTGTGTTTGATTCCTCAGCACCACATAAGCAAAAAGAAAAAAGCCAGAAGTGGCACTGTGGCTCAAGTGGTAGAGCGCTAGCCTTGAGCTGAAGAGCTGACGGACAGCACCCAGGCCCAGAGTTCAGGCCCCATGACTGGACCCAAAAAAATATATATATACATATCTGAGAATTTATACAGTATTCTCCTGCTATCCTGAGTTCACTCTCCAGTTTTAGCTACACACAGTCAACAAAAGTCTGAAAATATTAAATTGGGAATTCTACAAATAAGTATACTACAAATTCTTAGTTGTACAACTATTCTGGGTGATGCCATCCTGACTGCTGTGCTCTGTCCCAGCCTGGCATGAATCTTTCCTTTGGGTGTCTATATATAAGCCACGTGTCCCCTTACACACTTAGGAGCAGTGTCAGTTACCAGAACCCCAGACACACTGTCCCAGTGCTTGTATCCAAGTAACCCTTAGGTAGTAGATCAATGCCATAGCCCAGTGTGATGCTCCAATGCCCACATTACTTACTTTCCTTCATCTCAGCACTCAGACATTATAACATTTTAGATTATCACACGAAGGGCAAGCATGGTACATTAAGATGTGAAGGGAAAGATCACATTCACATAATACTTAGTACAGCATATCGTTTTAACTCTTTGAGTTTACCTCTATCACCTGCTGTAAATCCCTTTTTCTGGCTATTTTTATTAAACATAAGCATAAATATAGAGGGAAACATTGTATATAAGGGGTTTGGTCCTACCCACAATTTCTGGCATCCACTGAGGGTCTTGGAACATGTCCCCCATGGAAAAGGACAACTATATACCCTGAAAATAAGGAACTAACAAAGGAAGAGATTAAACAAGTAAGGACACGTGAACAGAACAAAGTGTTAAAAGAATATTAATAGAACTCTCTTTGATAATAGCATAAACTTATACAATGGTATGAAAGAGTAATTATAAAATACCTACCAAAACTACTAAAAATATTTTACTGTCAAGTATAAAAATAAAAGGAAATGAAAAACTAACCTATTAGTTTGATTAAAACTATTAGTCTGATTAAAACAATAAAACAGTAGAGAATTACAATTTTCTTTGAAAACTGGATCTGCTCAAATAGTACTGACTTTCTCCCCGTCCACAACATGACAATTTTCATGAGAACCATCTTTTCCATGCCTTAGGGAACCATCGTATCTTCTCTAAGTTTTTATCTGTTTTTGGTGTTTTAACCTCTGCACTGGGATCATCACAAAGTATCTCTAGGAGTTCTTTCCAGTGTCACTTTCTCCAGGACAACTTCATTTTTTTGTCATAATCACTCTTGGTTGTAATTTGCCAACATTAAATTCCTCTGGCTTCACATCTGCTCTCTTGAGCCCAATTCTCTTGAGCCCAACCATGGGAGTGCTGACTTTCCCACCAGTTAGCTATTTCCTCCAAAACTCCATTTACATCCAATTCCTTTCACTGTTAGCATTGTCAATTTGCTTTTCCTCCTTATCAGTCAAAGATCCTTTGTTTTCAATGATCCATTGTTATAAAATGTCAAGGAGGCTTTCCACTGGGAAGCAAAGCAGCAACACAACCGCGTAATTTGGTGTCTGTGCATGAACCCACTAAAAGATGTACCCTGGACAATCCTGACAAACTTTGATACAAGTGATGTGACAAGTAAGCAGACCAGCAAGCTCTGAGAGCCCAGCTTAACCTGAAATGAGGGACCTAAAAGACCTGAAGTTCTAGAAATAAGAGAGAGGACATGGGATAAAAAGTGGCACGGCCTGGGAATGAAGGTTGGAAAAAAATGGGACAAGGAAGTCAGTGTGGGTGGAATTGACCAATGGAACCAAATAGACATGGTCATAATATGGAAAACTGCAAGAGGGTGGGAACTATGGTTTTAAACTGTGAGATGGATATAGGCACAAACCATTATGTTCTTGCTAAGTAGCCAGGGGACATGATGATTTTTAAATTGCATCTTTATTGTTGCATTGACACATATCATGAACTGAAATAAAAATATGACAAGAGAACAACATCTTTTCCATTCATATCCACAAAGATGAATTTGGAATACTTAGTACTCACTACAACATACTCAGTCAAAATAATTTTAGGAGGAAATTTCACCTGAACATTTTTCAAAGTTGCAAGGTGTTATTCAGTTTGAATTTTCTTCTGAAAGTAGTTCAATTCAACAATGTCAAAGCCCACTGTCCATTTTTTCATCTTGACAACAATTTAGATATTTGGATATTTTCTTAGATACTATAGAAAAGCATCTTATGATTGTAAATACTTGGAACAAACTGAGATAAATAAAAATAAAAAATAAAAATCCTTTCCAATTTGAAGAGTGACTGGTATCTGCTCTTGTCTTGAGAATTCTAGATTTAGGTAAGCCTTTATTCTGCATGTAACTAAAAGGCAGGGCATAGCATTAAAAGTTCATATTAAAAGGTGGAGAAAAGTCCTGCAGCCTATCAGTTATTTTCAAAGCTCTTAGAGGCTGTCTCATTTGGATTTACATTTTAAATATAAAATTTATTCTCTTAAGATTTTCTAAACAGAAACACTCAGATGCATGAAGGAGTAAATAACCTTATTTCTGTGAGTTAGAATTTAAAAATGAACCTTCCTACTCAGGAGGTACTCGGTATTAACATAAAAAGTTAGCTTCAAAAGGGACATGTGAACTGACCCAACCATTACATCTAAAATAGACAACAGCTACCAATAGCTACCAATCTACTAAGCTGTTTCTTTGGACAGCAGGTAAATTTATAAAGTCATTATGTTAACTTTAAAGTATGGTTTTCATTAATATTTCTTTGATTTTTAATTTTAGTTTAAAAAAAACCTTGCCAGGCGCTGGTGGCTCACGCCTGTTATCCTAGCTACACAGGAGGCTGAGATCTGAGGATCTCGGTTCAAAGCCAGCCAGGCAGGAAAGTCTGTGAGATTCTTATCTCCAATAAATCAATTAGAAAGCTGGTAGTGGCGCTGTGGCTCAAGTGGTAGAGCACTAGCCTTGAGCTGAAGAGCTGAGGGACAGCGCCCAGGCCCAGAGTTCAAGCCCCT